CTGAAATTGTTTGGGGTTTGGTTGAAAGGAGAGAGAAAAAAGAGGGGTCGAGATGAAATTATTAATAATAATAATTTCGTGGTGGGTGGGTCCCATATGACGGAAATGAAGAACGTGGACTTTCACGCGCCGTTGTGGAAGAGTAGCAAAGTCTGCAACTAAAAAAAAGAGTGTGACACGTCATCGACGAAAAAAATTAAAACTTTTTATGATTTTATATGATTTTCCGTAAGGAAAGTTTTTATTTTTATATTCCTCCAAAGGCAAATATTTTCATGTATCCTCTTCTCTCTAATTAATTAGTGTATTAAGGTGAAAATAAAATAAAAAAGATATTGGAATTTTTAGATTTTTTTGTGTTGGGTGCTTTTAGCTTTTTTCTTCTTCTTCATATTAAGAATCTTAATATGAAAGCATGTAATTATATATGGTTTAAGGTCATGACTTGTGTTTACGTAGTTGAATCTTGAAAGAGGAAGAAAATGAGAAAATGATTTTGGAAATGATAGGTGGTTTCCATGTTTTTACGTAATCCGCTGAATTTATTTCCATGAATATATAGTTAGGAATGTCGACAAAAAACAGCATTGTCTAGAAAATGGAGTTAGACCTACTCCATGGCATTTAAATTGCAAAAAAACATAAAAATTAGTACTAATGTAGAATAAAATATTTCAAGTTAGCTCTAATATAATCAAGTTAATAATAAACTAATTTCTTCATGACTATTAACAACTTATCATTAATTTTGTTTTATATTGGAATTTTCCGCTAGAGTATTTGAATTTTGTAATAGTTGATGTCCTATTAAAAGTCGCTATCAAGACTCGAACATCACTTAATTGATGTGATGTAGAAATATCACTACCAAGTGGCAAGTACAAACTCTCAAGCATTGAAAAAACAATCTTCACTGTATATATTTTCTCATTTTTGACATATACTAATTCATTCACACACGCATATTTTTAAATACAAACCTAAAATATAAGTGTAACTGTATATTTTCTCAATGTATATAAGACGTAACA